GGCCCACCTGTCAGGGCCATCGTCTACCTCCGGCCGCCGCCGCCGAAACCCTAGTTTCGCGCCGTCGCCGTTTCCTTCCAAATCCGGCCGCTCCTTTCCTTCTCCGGCCGAATTGTTTGAGGGGAAACAATCTCCGGGATCTTCTCTACCTTTTCTCCTTTAGAATCTTTGGCTAAATCGTTTTGGAAAGAGTTGGATTCGAGTTCGTCTCGGATTCGTTCTTCCCAAACTTTCCTTCCTCGTCGCCGGCCGCCGTGGGCCTTTGCCGCCGCCTCCGAGCCCCTTTAAAAGGACCCCCGGTGTCTCCTCTACCCGCCGCCACCCTTGCCTTCGCCTCTCGTCGTCGGAAGAGCTCTAGCGCCGTGTGCCCTAGCTTCGCCGTCGCCGCCGCCGCTCCAGCCGTGCGCCGCCGTCGTTTCAGCCGTCGCCGTCGCTCGGGAAGACCGTCGTCGTGGTCGCCAAGTCGTCGCCGTCCTCGTCCGCCCCTTCGCCGTCGCCGGAGATCGCCGGAGCCTCGTCGCCGTCGTCAACCCGAAGGTTTTCGCCGTTTCCTCCTCGTCGCCGTCGCCATCCGTTGATCTTCCGCCGCCGTTTTGGTCACCGGTGAGTTCGCCGCGTCGTCCTCTACGTCTTGGTGCCCTCCGTTTGCGTCCTAGCGCCGCCGTTCGCCGGCGAGCGTGCGCCGCCCGAGCCGTCCGCTCCGCCGAGCCGCCGCCGCTGTCGGTGACGTCACCGCTGACGTCATCGGGGTCGTCCGCCGTGAGCCGGTCGTGGACCGTTCGATCTCGGCCGTCCGTTTTGGATTGGATCGATCTCGGCCGTCCGTTCGCGTGAACCGTCGCCGTGCACCCGGTCCACCAAAACCCTAGCCCGCTGACGCAATAAACCTTCTTTTCCTTTTCAAAAATAATTCATTATTGCGTCATAATTCAATTTTAACCGATTTAAGTGTTTTAATCCGATTTAATCTTCAAAAATTCATAACTAATTCATCTTAGCTCCGATTTAGTTGGTTCAAGTCTCTAAATTTTTCTAAAATTGAGATCTACACATTAAAAATATCCACATGTACTGTTCATACTTGTTTATGTGCTGTTTTGGTGATTTTGCTCTTTTCTGCTTAGATTCCGTCGTTTCCGGAGAGTCCGTTTTCGCCGGAGAAGAGTTTGAAGAGTTCCAAGGCCAGCAAGGCAAGTCACACAGATCCCAAACAACCCTTTGAGCATGTTGATCCTATTTAAAGCTATTATTTCTATTCAACTATTGCATTTATTTTCGAATGTCATTGGGTGGAATTAACCTATTCTTTGTTATAGCCCTTTTGTTCTTGATTACTTTATTCCTTGATACCTTGGGTTATAATAATTTGACTGGTTGAACTTTATTTATATTGGTTCAACTAGATATTAGATATAATTGCTTAGCCCTGCTTAGAAACATTAGCACACTATTGGGATAACTATAATTCACTTTTATTTCATGATGGCTTAATGATAGTTCACGATGGTCAATCGTGATTGGTTAATTAATTAATGTGCCAACTAAAACCTGGTAATGGTGGGTTGTGAGCACATGGTTTTGATGGTCGTGCTCATGACAATTAAGGACCGGTTCACGAGTTTCGGTTGTGAAACATTAACCGTGCCAACCACAAGCCAGCATGGGCAACGGCTTTATCTTTTGTATAGCATGGTTCATTGCGGGGCACCAGACTGAGAAGTGGCGGAGATAAGCCCACGGGGGTCGCTGGGGAGTCCATGCCTTGTTTATAAGGGGGTGATTATGATCCAGGAAGGTGCGCTGCAGTGGATTGTGTTGTATAAGGGGTATTGTCACAACTCCTTTCCGAGGTACCGTGGTGGTATTGAGGCACATGGTGACATGATGTGGGGTTGTGTCTTGTGGGTACAGTGGTACACCTCTGATCAGAGTAAAACTATTCGAATAGCCGTGCCCGCGGTTATGGGCGGGTCTAACAATGTCTTTCGTGATTAGTCTCACCCTTCTCACCATAGTAAAAGATGCTTAAATTGGTAATAATTTGATTAGCTCCTGGTTTGGAATGGTACATTCCTGGTTTGGAGATAGAACTGTGCAGCCGGGGTGGTTGTTCAGAATGGTTGGGCCTATGCAACAGGGTATGTTGTATAGTGTTGGATTAATATTGTTTAATTATCACTTAACTGTTTTATAATTCTCAAATGTTTGCTAAATGCTGCTTTTGCAAATGAAACCCTACTATGCCATCCTTTGTTATCCTGTGCACTTGCATATTTGCTGCGTGGCTTGCTGAGTATGTCATATACTCACCTTGCAATCATTCATCAGAGGAAGAGATCTACAGTGATGCTGATGGTGTGGAGGATTAGGTGTAGCCTTGGTCAAGCTGCCTGTGGAGTCGAGCCGTCTGCGCCGTTTAATTTTATTTTCCGCTGCTTAGATTTTATTGATTGAGAGGAACTATCTACCTCTGTAATGACATTTTATTCGCTTATTAATTAGAGTAATAATTGTACTCTATTATCAATTTGTTATTGTGTGCCTCGGCTGATTCCTGGACGAGGGTTCACACACATGTAAGCGTTTGGAATTTTGGATAGAAATTCCGGGCGTGACAACTAGAATGTATGTATACTATGTATATTAGAAGTATTGGAATAGATTATCTTCCTCTTTTCTTTTCACTTAGCTTAGATAATATATTATGAGAATGAGTAGTTAATGCTTGTGTATCTTTCTACGCTTGGATTATCTTAACCCCTACTTAGAATATGATTATCACAAGCAATATATAGATTATTAGTTAAGTTCTCTCTACATGATCTTCTCACGGGATAAAATAAATATGATAACCTTGGAATGCTCTCGAGTGAAATACTACAATGGTATATCCGTGCGCTTGCGGATGAACTCTATAACCATAATATACCAGAAGTATTTCTGCGCCATTGCTGGGAATTACATTTCTAGTAATGTCGTTGAGAAATACCAACAGCCGCCTAACACACGGTCAAGGTGTGGGAGCCCTACCACCGTCCTATCCGTCATTTAGCAGGTGCGTGGCACGCCGCATTTGGCGCGCCTGCCCAGGCCGCCTTAAATGCGGCGCCCACCTAAGTCCGCACACGTGGCGGCCATGCAGAGGGGGTCGGGGCAGCCCGAACCCCAAGCACGGAGGGGGCGGCTGCTGCTCTACCCCGGGCCCGACTCCCTCGGGGGAATGCCACAAGGGTACTGAGGGCAGCCTCCTCCCTTTAGTCTCGATACGCCCTGACCTATATCACCAATAATAACCGGGGCAGCCCGAACCCCAAGCACGGAGGGGGCGGCTGCTGCTCTACCCCGGGCCCGACTCCCTCGGGGGAATGCCACATGGGTACTGAGGGCAGCCTCCTCCCTTTAGTCTCGATACGCCCTAGCCTATATTACCGATAGTAACCCCCGGCGTTAACCCTAGCCGAACCCTTCCATGAGTGGCCAGGTTTGACGCCATTCTTCTGATCCAGTGACATGTGTGCCTAGTATTTTTTGAGTCATGACACATTTCGCCGATCGCGGCCCAGCGCGCAGTGGAAAACCGCATCCCTGGCAATGATGGGCCGTCACCTCGCAATTGCCACATCGCCTGGGGTGGCGCGCGGAGCGGATGCGTCAGTGGCTTCGCTAGCGAATAATGATGGCGATTCTGTCGTAGGCTCTCTAAACCTTCCATTATATTTGAGAGATGATGTGAATAATTCAAATCATCATACAAACATAATGAAACATCTGACGCCTCGAGAGAAGAATATTAGAGACATTGCTGGGCCTTTAGCCTGCCAGTCAACTTTAGCCTGAGATGTACCCGTCAATCCACTCGAAGGTGGCGACCAGATGTGTTACACATTCAGGAGAGCTGACAAAAATGGCTAAAGATCTACAACATCTCAAATATTCTTAACTCATACTCATGTGAATCTAGTTGCCAGGATGTGCACTAGATTCACACTTTCATCTTAAGCATGGACATACATAGCAAACACAATTAAGATGAAAGGAACTTAAGGACTTACAACAACTAAATAGATACATAGGCCGACCGGCCAAATAGACATAAATATAGAACAACGGAAGCTTGACTACCCAAATACAAGCACACCGACTAGGGGTATACCCCATCAAGTTCTCATCCTAGAAGAAGCAATCGAAACATGCATCACTCAAAGACTAAGTCTAAATCCTGCAAGCAAAAGTTTATTCCAACAGCAAGAGTTAGTATATTAATCAAATTAATGTATTGGCAAGCACAAGACAATCCTAACATACTACATATAAGGCATATATTCAAAGGAAGGCATTATGTAGTTTATTTTCGGCATAAAGAGGTTTTGTTTCACAAATCTTTTGTAATGGAGTTGGCAATTCAACTATCAAAAACAAGTTTTAACTTTTATCATTAAGTTCATCATAATTCCATCATAATCAATCTCTTGTTGTCATCCTTGACAACAAGTCATAATATATCACCACACTCACAGAACTCAACACATTTTATCAATTTCAAACCAAGTTACATGTTCTCATTTTAAAACATAGTCTATACTCATAACACTTCACCAAAGCGCTCATGACCGTGAGCATGGCTAATCGATTAGTTTAGAGAATTCCGCAGAGTTTGTACAGCTTTACCCACATGATCTGAATCGCTCTAGTTTGTTCGGTACCCGTCGGTACCACCATACTATACGCATTAAGTACATTCTAGAGGTCACAACGAAGCCTTCACACTACTTAGAATCTAGCCTTGCACCAGCACGATACGTGTTCCTCCATCCTAGACATTCTTGGAATATGTCTAGAACCGCTAAGTAGCAGGCCCACGCCTTAAACTACCACGATGGGAACCCACCACGTGGCACAATACCGTTGTATTGGACATGTTTAGTCACCTAAACTACCACTTTGGGGTAAATAGGAAGCTCCTCTGAATTATTCCAACTCATACACACCGGCCTACCAGAATGCAAGGCTAGTTCTAAATAGATTAATCAGCTTAGTCCATCCCATACTAGCACATGTGGATGTACGAATAACTTTAAGTTGGTGACACAAGTTCAGTCCTTACGGACTCGGGCAAACACTCCCCCTATCGGTATGCAACTAACATCATATGCACACCACTTGCCGCCCAAGTCTAAAATCACATTTTACTTATTTTAGTTCACAAATACCTATCATATTCATTTTATTCCAGCAAAGGTTCATGCGTCAAAATCATATTTTAATTATAGATGGAATGAGCATTTGCATGTTTCTAAGCATGGCTAAGCAAGTAGTTGGACATAGAGCATATATAAACCTATTTGAGCACAAAGAGTGTACTCTAACCATTTCTAGGGGTTTAAGCAGCAAGGATCACAATTATTGAAGGTAGGGTATGCAGCAGATAGGTCATAACTACCTTATCCCAATTTTAAATATCGGTATAGTTTAAGTTCATATGCAACTTTGCAAACAAATATTTTCATTCCTCAAATCATGGGATTCAATGTGTTCAAAGGATGGGAGGAGAACTTGCCTTGATATTGAGAAATGTTTGCACCTAATCCATTCCTTCACCGCTTATGCAATTATCTAAATAAAATACACGTTATGCAATTAAACACCGAAATAGTCAAAAATCTAAAATGCTCTAAAATGTATGATTTGTGCATAATAAGTAGGTACTGATCTAAAATGAACTTAGGTGAAAGAATTTCCATTTTGTCTCATTCCATTTGAGAGTTATGAATTTTAGAAGTTATGTCGGTATGTAGTAGTGTTTAATTAGGCAGTGTTATAAAATGTTTCTATAAATTGATTTTAATTAAATTTGACTTCACAGAGGTGAAGAGATGAGTTTTCTAAGACTAGAACATTTGGTTTCACAATTTTTAGAGTTTCTATGAATTTCTAATGTATTTTAGAAGTTACAACTTTTTATAGCTGTATAGTGTTATATAGGTTCATGGCTTTAGAGGTTTAGGTCCAGAACTTGTTTCATCTTGCTAGTGATGTTTAAAATGAATGATTTAGTCTACTAATCAAATTTTAGTTCACAAACTTTGAGTTGATATTACTCTACTACACATTTTGTAACTTAGGGAATGTTCTATGTTAATGACTTTACATATTAACCTAGAGTTTTGTTACACAAGCTATGTTCATCTAGGTTTTAGTGAATGAGGATGAATTTATAGCTTTTCTGGTCTAACAAATTTTAGTTAGGTTTAATTAGAGCTAGACTACATCTATATATATACATACCTATGTTTTGCTTAATCAACACTATATGATTAGCACCAATTTTATCCAATTAAGGTTCAGAGCTATAATTTGTACAAAAAGTGCCACATTTTACTTTACTAAATTTAAGTTCACTCTTTTTCTGACTCCATAGAAACTTGGTTCACTCTTTCTGGACTAAGGATGAATTTTCTATAAGTTGTACAAATTAAAGGCTACCCCAAGTTGGTTATTTCCTTATATAAATATTTAGATGTTTTTATTATACAGAAAGTTTATATTTTTATTTTACAACTTGGAAATACATGTTTTGGTGACTCTACAGAACTTGAGTTTACTCAAAGAGGAGTTAAGATGAATTTTATATGAACTTCTAAAGTTTAACTTATCTAAAACTTATTATTTTAAAGATAATAGTTTTAAAGGCATTTGGAAAAGAAGTAATTATATACTTTTATTTCTCCTAATCAGAGAGTGTAAGTTGATGAATCTGTGGAACTTAAGTTTGTTCAAAACTAAGTTGAGATGAATTTTATATGCATTTTATAAATTTCTATATTAAATTTAATAACTTTATGAATCTACAGAAGTTTGAATCATCTCAAAATGAGCTATATTTAATTTTATATGGATTTTACAAGTTTAGGTGTTTTCTTGATATCAAATTATTAGTTTGTGTATTTCTTTTATCCTTTTTCCAGTTTTTAAATAGTTGGGTCCACAAGTCAGTGAGAGACTAATATGCAGGAAGGCCCTTGAGGTTTCAAGGAATCAATCTGCAGTCCAAAATGTGCGATGAACCAAATTCATTAAGAGTCCTCAGATTCTTTTAATTCATTACTAATTAGTCCGTTGTCCCACATGTAAGTCTAACATATTTTACATTTTAAACCTTACAAGATTTAAACTTTCTCTAAATGAGGTTCTCAGTGCCTAATGACATGGGGCCCGCTCGTCAGTGAGACGGTGGCCGGCGGACAGAGCAGCGGCGGCTCGGCGAGTTTCTCGCCGGCGCCGGCGATGAACGGCGGCCCATGTCGGTGTGCATCCAAAAGAGAAAAGGTAGCCTACATAAATGCGAACCCGACGGTATCCTTTTTGCGAGCTGCAGTGGTCAGAATCGATGGCAATGGCGGCGCGAGCGGCGGCAGTCCTCGGGGTGACGATGCAGGTTGATTTAGAGGTCAGATCTAGGTGAATGGAGTGCATGCATGTAACTAATAGGTCTCCAGGATGCTCACTGTGAGTCTAACGAGGGTTGTCGAGGTCTTGGCAGCAGCGGCGACTTGCGGAACCGCTTGGCGACGGCGTCCTTCCGCGGGTGAACGACGACAGCTCGAACGGGACGATGAGCTGCAAGAGAACAGCATGCACGAGGGTAGTGAGGTTACAGGGATGGTTTGTGCGCGAGGAATCGAACAATGGCTCACCGAAGTGGCAGGAATCGAAGATCGATGCCGGCGGCCGGAGTTGGAGAAGATGACGCCGATCTCCCTCCTCGATTCACCGATCCATGTGGTTCTTGAGGAATCTTGAAGGGGACGTCGAGGCGACCCTGGTGGCGCAAGGGTTCGGCTTGTGGTGGTTCAGTTCGGTTGGAACGACGACGTGAACCCGGAGCAACGATGGCGAGGTCCGCGTTCCCATAAAACCACTGCATGATAGGGGCTGAGATTAGAGGGGATGGAACCGGCATCGAGACTAGATTAAGGAACGCAAAAGAAGATGAAACGGCCGCTGCTCTATTTCGTTGGCGACCTTCGTCTTCTTGGTGGCCGACGATGGAGATGAGGAAGAAAGGAGCAGCCGGAGCTCGTTCCCTCGATTTGCCCGGATCAGAAGTCGTAATGGGGAGGAGGCGATGCAGCTGGCAGGAAGTGAAGACGAGGCTCGACGTTGCCACGTCGAGGCCACGCATCGAACGCACCTGAGAGTTGTTGGCGCCGATCTTTCCTCTCTCACGTTCTCTCTTGCCTGCTGGTCGGTTGGAGGATTGCACAGGGTGAGGACGAGCCACAGCCACTGATAAGTGGGCCCAAATCGATGACACCAAGGTTAGGGAGAAAGGGAAGGGTAGAAACAAAGGTAGACTTGATTTTGGACGATTTTCCAGGATTTATTTCTCTTCCCCTTTTTTGTTAATTCATATATTAATTTGTGTTGCAGATGTGTTCATGTGGATTTTATTGCAGGTGGATGAATGTACCTAGTTTCCATTTTCTTTGGTTGCACTTAAAAATTATGGATAGGTTGCTCACAGAAAATTGAGGAATATGGGCTATTTGGAAACTAGTTTGAATTTTTAGGAGGTCTAAAAAGAGGATAAAAATTCTAGAAAAATTATATTTAGTTATGATAAATAATCTAGTATTTAAATAAATTATTTAAAGTATACACTTTTATGCATTTTAATTCACTTTTTGGGTGAGGTATGGTTTTAGCCAATAAAGGATTATAATTAGTCTACTATGTGACTGTTTTGACTAATTTATTTGAGGCACCAAACTTAGTTATTAAGTTGTACCAAAATTACAGTAAGTTGTATGTGTTAAATAGAGACTACATAAATTTTCCCATGATTTTACCTTGCATATTTTATTTTAAATAATTAGCAGGATCTTTCTATATATATGTCCCACTTTATAAATGCATCTAAAGATTTTTATGTAAAGTACATTAAACTTCTTTCACTTGTGATGGCATTATTTTGACTTCCTTATCTTATCTTTTAAAATTATACCTCATGAATAACTTTTGTTTTGCTTAGTGAAATTATTTCCCTTAATTATGTTCATGAGTCCTAATATGCAATGCCAACCAAAATCCAAATGCACTAAGAAGACTCAAGTCAAAACATGTCTTATGCGAGTATGCATGCTTGCTCTTACGTTTGCATCTATGCCCTAGGTTAGAGATGAAAAAGGTTTTAATTTGTTCTCAAATTTTAATCATGCAATGGTTTAGGTCGGTTATTACCTAAGTTAAAACGAAAATTTTTGGCTGTCAAAATTGGAAAAGTTAATTTCAAACTATTTTGACGAGAAATTTTTAAGTCCGAGAATTTCAGGTATGTGACAGATTCTTTTGGTAACCGCGCGCAATTAAGGCGGGCGTGGCTCGCCCCGTCTTGACCGCAACGACCGCACGCCTACCACGCGTGTGTCAGAAGCAGGCGCGGGAAATGAGAGGGTGGAGTTAGTGGCCGTGAGAAACAAGGAGCCAGGCGTGGGTGAGGGGAGTACAACAGGGCGCCGCGGAAGGATTTCCTTCCCTTCCTTTCGCCACTTCAATCTTCCACGCTTACCGTGCCCTAGCCTTCTCGGTTCTTCGCCTTTCTCTCGCCGCGCACACTCGCTCGCTTTGTCCCTGCTCCGCCAGTGCGATGGCGCGTGGTTCCACACCACTGGACGACAGCGTACTGCCTCCCTCCCGCATCGTCAGCGAGAGGCAGGTGGGGCTGCCGCGGAAATCCATGCCAACACTGCCCAGGCGGGAGGCGGTGATCCTTGGTGCGGCGCGCCCGGCTCTGTGCTACCCCGGAAAGTCAGTCTTCTTCCTCTCATTCGCCATGGCGGGGCTGATCCTGCCCTTCTCCTCCTTCTACGACGTCCTGGATTTCTATGGTATCCAGATGGCGCACCACACCCCCAACACCATGATGATACTGGCCATCTTCGCACATCTGTGCGAGATGTTCATTGGGCCTCTTCCGCTGGTTCTTCACCTTGTAGCTGGTGTCCCCAGCGATGGAGGTTTGCGGCAGCTTCTTCCAGCCACACGCCCACACGCTGCACCGCTACATCAACTGCATGCTGCGCAAAAAGTGGGACGACCGGAAGAACGACTGGTTCTACACCGCCCTCCCAGATCATGCCCACCTCCGACTTCCCACCGCGCCACCGGTACAGGTGTTGACAGTCGTTATCGATCAGTTTCGACCGTCAATATTACCAAAATAGAGGAGAACTAGTGATGCTTGCAATGCATAAATATGTCAGAATAATAATATTCTACTAGAATTAGGTCTACTAACATTTTGCAGAGAATGACAATAAAGTGGAGGAGAATCGACATCAACATAGAAGATAAGTCCATCGGACGATGTCGACAATCAAACTTATGCATGAATGGGCCAAGAACTCAGAATTGACACGTCAAACTGGGCCAAAATTCACAAATCTACATAAAGGAGAAATAGAGGAGGCCGCCAGCCGAAAGGTGGGCTAGTTGCATAAAGGAGAAATAGAGGAGGCCGCCAGCCGAAAGGTGGGCTAGTTGGGGCGGGCCCTGGTTCGGCCGAACCTCCCTCTCCTCCGTTGGATCCAGGTTTTGGCTGGACGGTTGAGATGAAGCCCCAATGACAGTTGGAGGGTATTACCGACCATTCCAACCGTCACAATCGTCGTAGTTTAGCTATAAAAGGAGCTCCTCTTCTCACTTCACACACATACCTCAAGCAAGAGCTCTCTCATTTCTCTCAAGTTTAGTTTAGTAGTATCTAGCTGGTGGAATAGGAATAGAGTAGAAATCAGGAGTCCTGAAGCCTTCGGAAGAGTTCGGGTATGGCTCTAGTAGCTTTCCTTTCCTCTTTTGTAAGCTCTGTACTTTTATTAGAATACTATTCTATATACATTTATGGTATTGAAATACTTTCCGAGTATATGAGTACCTACTTTACATTATGTTCATGTTATACTGAATATACAGCTAGCTTATCTGGGAGAAGCTGTGGTGTGGGTATAATGTTTGCTTAAGCAATTACTCTATGTCATGATGATGATATTAGAGTAGTATCTGGTAGTTTAGACGTGGTGTCTAGATTACGGGATATCATTATTTGGGGTTATATGTTGCGGATGAGAGGTGGGCCGCTAATGGTGACAGCTCAGTACAGGTATTCCTCCGCGCTTGTATATAATCCTAAGTTAATTCCCTGGGGAGGGTATTCCTCCGTATTTAGCCCCGGTTGTATGGTCGTGACAGGCTGTCATAAGGAACTCGGCAGTAAGGGGTGGCTTCTCGAAGTACCAGGAGGGCATCGGATAGAGGGTATTAGATAGTATATCGGTTAACTAGAATATATATATACTATGTATATTAGAAGTATAGGATTATATTATCTTTCTCTTTTCTTTCCACTTAGCTTAGATAATATATTATGAGAATGAGTAGCTAATGCTTGTGTGTCACTCTACCCTTGGATTACCTTAACCCCTGCATAGAATATGATTATCACAAGTAATATATAAACTATTAGTCAAGTTATCTCCACATGATCTTTCCACGTGATAAAATAAATACGATACCCTTGGAATACTCTCGGATGAAATGCTACAATGTTATATCCATGAGCTTGCGGATAAACTCTGTAACCATAATATACCAGGAGTATTTCTTCGCCATTGCTAGGAATACCAGGAGCACTAGAAATATAATTCCCAGCAAAGGCGCAGAAATACTCTTGGTATATTATGGTTACAAAGTTCATCCACAAGTGCATGGATATACCATTGTAGCATTTCACCCGAGAGTATTTCAAGGGTATCGTATTTATTTAATCCCGTGAGAAGATCATAATAGAGAGAACCTGACTAATAATTTATATGTTACTTATGATAACCATAGTCTAAGCAGGGGTAAAGATAATACAAGGGTAGAGTGACACACAAGCAGGAAGCTACTCATTCTCATACTAAATTACCTACGCTAAGAGGAAATAAAAGAGAAAGAAAATCAATTCCTATACTTCTAGTATACATAGTATACATATATTCTAGTTATCTGACATACCAGCTAATACCCTCTATCTGATGCCCTCCTGGTACTTTGAGAAGTCACCCCTGACTGTCGAGTTCCTTACGATAGCCCATCATGACCATACAACCGGGGCTAAATATGAAGGAGTACCCTCCCCAGGAAATTAACTTAGGACTATATACACGCGCGGAGGAATACCCATACTGAGCCGTCACCATCAGCGGCCCACGTCTCATCTGCAGCATATAACCCAAAATAATGATATCCCGTAATCTAGACACCACGCCTAAACTACCAGAAACTACTCTAGTATCATCGTCATGACATAGAGTAATTGCATAACCAAACACTATACCCGTACCGATGCATCTCCCAGATAAGCTAACAATATAATCAGTATAACATGAACATAATATAAAGTTAGCATTCATGAACTCGGAAAGTATTTCAATACCATAAATGTATAAAGAAGAGTGTTTTAATAAAAGTACAAAGCTTACAAAAGAGAAGAGAAGAGCTACTAGAGCCATACCCGAACTCTTCCGAAGGCTTCCGGACTCCGATTTCTACTCTATTCCTACTCCACTAGCTTAAGACTACTAAACTAACTTGAGAGAATATGAGAGAGCTCTTGCTTGAGGTGTGTGTGTGAAGAGAGAAGAGGAGCTCCTTAAATAGGCTGCCAATGACGGTTGTGGCAGTTGGAATGGTCGGAATTGCCCTCCAACTGTCATTGGGGAGTGATCCACGCCGTCCAAAAGAAACCCTGCATCCAACAGCGCCAGGTGGGTTTCGGCCGAACCCCGAACCATGGGCCAGCCCAACCACCCCAGGTTTTGGCTGGCGGCCTCCTCTGTTGCTTCTCTTCACAGACTTGTGAATTTTAGCCCAATTGATCGTGTCAATTCTAAGTTCTTGGCCCATTCGTACATAAGTCTGATTCTCGACATCGTCCGATTGATTTATCGTCTGAATTGATGTCGGTTCTCCTCCATTTTATGGTTATTCTCTGCAAAAGGTTAGTGAACCTGACACTAGTGGAATATTATTATTCTAACATAGATATGCAGTGCAAGCATAACTAGTTCTCCTTTATTTTGATAATATTGACGGTCGAAATTGATCGCTAACGACCGTCAACAAAACCCCCCAAACTTGAACCTTTGCTCGTCCCGAGTAAAGG